TGCTATGAAATAAATTTCTACATACAAATACAGTCATATTTCAATATTTCCTCTCAAGGAAGAAAACTTCTTGGACCCTTAGTCTCCAGTGGTTCTAAGCTCAAGTTTTATTTTTATCACATTGTTTTTTTTTTATTTGGATTGCTGAAACACGCTGTATACTAATTTTCACTTAATCACAATTAAAAATATTTGCCTTTCCTTGACTAATTTTTATTATACAGATAAATCATGCAAGCTAGCTATTAAAATTCATCTAGAAGTTAATTGTTCATTAACATTTATATTACCACATATGTTCAGCAGATATGCCCTCTTTCATTATTTATTGCCATTTTGTTTACATCTGTAAGATAGCAAAAAACTAAAACAGCACTATCATTTCTTCCTGAAAATATTTATTGATAAATATTTTGTATGAGCAACCCACTAAATGTTAACCTTACTGAAGTAGTTGTAGTTATACCATATAATAATGACAATTTATTTTTGAAATTTTCTATAAATATGTATTAATGACACCCTTGGCATCATAATTACAAGTTCCATGAAAAATTCAAGTAGCATTATCATGGCAGAGTAGGTTAGTGATCAGCAATTTTAAGTCATTTTTTGTTATTCATCATTAACTCAGTTGGCTGGAATTACACCAGAGAGGCAGAAAACCAATATGGAACTTATCTAAATATAAATGGAACATAATCATTCCTTTATCAAAAAGATGAGAATATGAGTTCAGTACAAATATATTTCACTTGCTTAGAGATGAATGTGTTAGTCACCCAGTTAACCATATTAGAGAAATGACAGCATAAGAAATTCTTTCTCAATGCTTTGAAGAGATGGTAAACAAAGTCGAATCAATGTTCAGGAAGCAATTCATGTTGGATTATTTTTGTACAGAGAACACAAATTATATATTTATTTACATTTGAAATAAGTTTCTATTAATTCAAAATGTCATATAATGTCTTGAATATTAAATGAGACATACTAAATAACATAAACACAGGAACTGGGCCAGGCACAGAGCCAGTACTCAGAAACAGGATTGGCATTATTGCTTTCATCATAACTACATTGGTTTTCATTTTAAATACTGAATTTTGATAGTGATTATTATTTCTGCACTATTAAATAGGCGTTGAAGCTACTATATGCCAGAAAAGGGAGGATGGTAAATCAATGATATGACACATATAAATAAATAAAGCCAAGAAGAGTAAAATTATGAGTTTCAGGATTGCATTGCTTACTTACCTACAGGCGTGTGAAGGGTTCTGAGTGAAGGTGTCTTAAACCGAAAGGAAATGTTCATCTTTCTCAGCCATACATGTACATACAGATGAGTGTGAGGGAAAAGCAATGCTCCTTAAACAAAGTCAATCACTCAGACATCTCACAAGTTCCCGTTTTATCCTGG